CCCCAGACTCTTTGAAGTAGTATTCGGGGAAAGGACGAGCACTGCGCCCTTGGTGGGACTTCTCCTTCCACTTCCCGGAGAACGTGTATTCTCGCCCCACCTTGCTCTTGTCCGCTAATCGGGTTCTAGACATGCAGCGAAAGTGAGGGCGGGTGCAATGTCGGAGCCACTTGCTTTCGAATGGGATCTTCCGGTTCGCTCGTACTGTGAGTGGGGGTGTCGAGCGCCATTCGGGCAGGGTGGGCTCCCCGACTAGAAGGTGCCGTTCGGCCTGTGGTATGCGGCGAGGATAGCCTCCCCCGCACCATGCTAGAGCTCAGTCGCGCCGTTCGATCGGGGGTCAGCGGGAAATGCGGCGCCATGCCGCGTATGAGATGTTTGCGTGACTGCCTTTCTTTCATTTCTAATGTATTTCGTTCTATTAGCTCTTCTCCCATCAAACTTTGTTGAAGTTTGACATTCCGATGCAGTAAATATACTAATGGATAGAGGCGTTCGTTTTCTTGCAGCATCGAGTTTAGCAATGGTACGGTGCTCATTGTTACTCTTTCCCCGGTGAGGTACTTTAGTTGTGGGGTGAGTGTCGTTATTAAACTTGCTCTATCTAAGAATGCAGTCATTGATTCATAGCCCTGGTGCAGATAATCCCCTCCTAATGCCGTGCCTGCACTTTGCAGATAATGTGTGCTTTTTTTGTGAGTTGGGTTTTCTTCCCTAGGCTCTGAGTCTAAAGTGATTTTATCTAATGTTCTTCCGCATAAAGGATCTGTTTCTCGTATACTGAAAGTCATCTCTTCCACATGCACATTACGTTTCGTGTATGAATTTATTGTTAATTTGGAAATACTGAGTGAGCCAGAGCACGTTCTAGCGCTTGAATCCATAGGTTTTTCAACAAGCAGATCTTTGTTCGTCTTTATGTTTTCTCTCATTAAAGATTTATTTAATGAGGTACAAGGTTGTTTGATTTCTAAAATATTCCTATTAAGCAATGAAATTTTTGAATTTGTTCCTTTTTTTGACACCCTAGGGAAAGAATTTTCTACGCCATATTTATTGTTGTAACTGGGTTCACTTCTGCTTTGATCTGCCTGGATAACTTCCTTATTTCCTTTGGCATCCTTTATTTTCAATTTGTGACCACAGTTGTAATGCTCTTTGCTTTTATATGAACTTGGCAAGGTTTGATATGATGGTTTAAGGTTCATTCTACCATGGAAAGCTTGGTCATGCGCAAGGTGTGATGATGGATAAATTTGATCTGGGTAATTTTCCTGCAATAAAGCACGTTCATTACGATGTTGTTCTCGAGCTTTTGGCTCCAAACAGAAACTTTCATTCGGAGAATGCGTTTTGGTTTTTTGTTTCTTGTCTAATTGTGCTTCATATGATGGAAGAGATACACTGGTAGAGCGGCTTTTATATCCGATATTACATTTATTGCCTCTGCGACGAATGGGAAAGTGACTTCTATGAGATAGTTGTTCATTGCATGGTAATTTCACAAAATACGGCAATAATGTGAGCAGTGACTCGACTTTAGAAGTCTTTACAAAACGGCTATTAACAGTCAAGCCGATAGGATGATGCGCTGTAGAAAGGCTTGGATTTTTGGAGGGTGTGTCACCCCTAAGGCTCTTTAACAGATTGGTTCTCTTTTGGAAGGAGGGGGGAAGACTTTCCGACAGAATCTTGTCATTAAGGGAACATTTCCGTTTAGGTGTCACTAGTGAGGTAGCTGATGTAGCTCCTGAAGCAACCGCATAGGACAAGTAGGGTGTTTGTTGTATTGCGTGGTTCGCCACACTTCTTTCAAGACTCAAAGCCGATGTGGGGGTTCGCCGAGGAAGTGAAGGGTGATTTCGAGGCTGTGATGGCAATGGAGACAATTCTGCATTATACAAGCTACTTTTAGCAGTAGGAGTTGTCGAAGGTGAGTTCCATTTATTAGTATTGTCTGAATTTATGGAAAAATACTCTTTTTGTTGAGTACCAGATATATGTTCTCTAGAATAGCTGGGTAAATTAATATCCGCCATTGTGTACGAGACATGAGGTTGTGTCATTTGATACCTGTATGATAATGTTAACTTTATTCCTGATTTGCATTGCATCAAAAAATCTATTAAGGATTGAGAGAATTGCTTTGGTACCTTAAAGTATGCATGAAATAATTTAGTACAGAATATCCCACGAATAAATCGGAGGGATGTGAGCCAAAGAAGATCTTGTAAATATTTCTCCCACCTTTCTAATTTCATTTGCACACCCTCAGCACCAGAAATATTTGCACCTGTACCTTTTTCAAATTCAATACTCTTAATATAACTGTGCGGCAACATATCCCTTGCGAAACATTATTAACGTGAAGCAACACGACTCGTCACAGTAGACTGATCACTTTAGATTGGCTAATTTATCACATTTGCTTCCAGACAAGTCTACTAAATATAATTCTGAGAGATCGAATATTCTCCCATTTCTTCAATTTTCACACGAATCAACAAATCGGAGAGAAAAATCAGATGCCAAATAGTCGTCTTCATGCGCCTGAATTGAGATGCGTAAAGCATTTTTTCAGTCTCTTGAGTATTTTTTACCGCACGAAAACCCTTTCTTAGTATGTCTGCACCTTGTAAACGTTAGGGCCCACAAGATCATACCACAACCCGCAAAAGAAATCAGTAAAAAAAATACAAAGTCAATCAACCCTTGCATCTTGACAAAAAATAATCATTCTTTTACAAAATAAAACAAAAACAATGATATTGAGAAATCTCAGGTAGTTCTTTAAGCGTGTAAGGTAGTTTCTTGTTATCTCGATATTCTTCTTTTAGACTAGTCATAAAATTGGAAAAGACTGTTGTTCACATCAATGTATCCCACACTGTGTTTCGGAGCCATCATTATCAGTGTTCTTCTCATCAACCGAAACGTTTGTTTGCCACTGTGCACTAATCCATAGATGTAGCGGAAAAGCGCTCATCGATGCTTAAAAGCATGACGAACATGTCCGCATGGAGAGGCTAGGCATAGAGGGATTTGCGAAGCACAGAGGTACGATGTTATGCAGGAAATGCCAACGTTAGTAAAATATTCAATATGAAAACATGATCTTGCTCATTATCGTATGCTGCCATATCACTTATTAGAGTGTCAGGATTTGTACAGTATGGTGACTGTTAAATGATACCCTCATTGTGCACTAGGGATGCCTCACCTCAAAAAACAGAAATAAAAAACGCCAATTTCATGTTAAGAAAATTACAAGATAATAATGAGGCGTGTAAAGGCAAGAGGGAAAGTAAGTTTGGTAATAGGAAAACAAACCAAAAGAATTGCGTTCAGTTAAGCTTAAGGAATTAGCGTATTAAGTATAAAAATCTCAAATACAGATAATACATTGCAGTAAAAAAAACTAAGTGTAACGCTACTAGTTGATCAAATGTGCCGCAAATAATACAGGGAAGGATAACGTCGTAGCCTGAAACCGTTTGAATTCGCTGAATCAGCATGTTGTGGGTTTAGCTTGTGGAGTGTTTCTATGAGATACAATACATCACCTCACAATATGAATGAATACATGCAATTTTTATCACCACAGTTGCATATTCATGTTAAATACAATATTAGCATAGTTATACCGAAATGTTTTGAAAAATTTTGTGAAGGAAATGATTCACCACTACCACTAGTTCTTGAATTCATGATAGATGCATTATTTTATTGATACCATTTTATTCTCATGTGTTTTCCTCAGATATCTATATGCAAGCATTTACACAATAGTAAATAACAGATATCTTAAAGCTCTTAGTCAACAACTTCTATGATTATAAAATTAATAATTTTTGGGAAGGATATTACGCTTACTCTGTAAATTTTTATGATTCTGTTTCTCTATGACGGCGGTGGTAAGGGATGAGGCCGGAAATTCGGTCTCTAACGTCCCCACAGATCTTCATCGCAAAGGATCGTATAATCTAGTCTTCGAGCTACACGAGTTCTATGGTTATGATCACTAGTAAAGTGAGTCTTTGTAGGGCCCAAGAATCCCTTGTTAGGACGCTTTGGCAAGCGATTCTTAAGCAACTTATCATAACCTGAAACCCTTTCGTAACTAGAGGAAGGGTTGTGATAGCTAGTATACGGTAAAAGAAACTCATTGACGGTGCCCCTCAACGGCTCCTTACCGGTGTATTCATCATTAATCAAGTGATGTTCCTCCGTTAAACGCGAAAAACACGAGTGCGATCCTTTTCGAGAGCAGAAAGGTGAAGAAATTGTTAAATCTACGGTGTAAGCATCCTCATCTTCCTCATCGTATTCCATAGCTAATAGCGACACTGCACAACACTCCGCACGTGTGAGAGGGTAAGCGCACCTGATTTTAGGGAGTTTTTTGGAATTAAAAATCTTCGTCGTGGATGAAGTTGTATCACTTGAAAGGCTGTGAGTGCATGACGAAGGTTGTAGGCCTTTCTCGAATGCGCTTGCTTCCGTTTCTTGCAATGTTGCATAACCCTTCCTCAACGCCGCACGATTTCTGTTGTATTCACCCGATTGACCAGAGTGATGAAAATGCTGCGTGTGTTGTGCGATGGCGCTATGATTCAAAGGCGGGGGACGCATCCAAACGGAGAAATGACTCCCACTGCCGAGAACCGCGTAGGGGCCGCCAAGAGTTACTAACTGCCTCCGCGCAGCAATGCGTTGAAGCGGGGTCAAACCACTTCGTGCGATCATCAAAAGGCGTTCACCAACTTGGGCGCCCTTCTCGGAGAAGATTTCATTTAAAGCTCCATCTGTGAGGGAGGGAGTGACAGAGGAGCTCCGTTTTTTTTTCCCTCTCTTCTTGGATTGGCTGGACGACATGGGAGTGTTGGGAAAACAGGAAGAAATATGCTGTGAAATGTATGGCAAATGGCAACGAATAAATCGAGTATTTACGTTTTCACCATCAATTATACCGTAAATGTCATCTTCAATAACGTTATTTCCATTTTTGTGTATGCCGATATCATTGTTGCAGGTAAAAATACGCTCCTCACCGCCCATGATATTCGATATCATTTCGTTCCTTGTAAGACTTGTCATTGTGAGTTTTTAGAACATCTATTCACTTTATATATATATAAGGACACTTATCCCTTAACGCATCACAGGTTTAAACGCAAAATGAATGTAATAAAATAATTATGCAATTGATACAAATAGGGGTTTTCTTGTTTTATTAACAAATCTCAGAATGGAATGATGATATAATAGGGGAATGCCATATGTATACATAATTTATATAGGAAAGATTTTTTCTTTATTTGATTTGAGAAGGAGTTTCTGGAATACGCATGCAGTAAAATATGAAATAATATTTCTTTCTATCCATCAGCTATGATTTTTAAATTTGAACAAATTACGCGCATGTAATCACTGCTCCCCGTTTAATTACAAAGTTTTGGAAAAATAGTTCGTTAAAGAAATAATTAAAATAAAAAAGAAACTAATAAATAAAAAATTTAGCTAAACATATGTAGCCGAAACTACAACCGACATTAATAAACTCTTCTAAAGCACAACTAAGTTAATCCATACTATGATTAAGAAATATATATACATTTTTTTCAATATCCAAATACTGTTACCTCATATGCAATGGTCCATGTGATTCACCACTTTGGTTTACTGTTGTAAAAGCATGTATTAATCAATCAATCAATCAATATATATATATATATATATATGAGGTATATTATCTAAATTCAAACGGAAAAAAACTCTAAAACAACAAAAAAAAACTAATCATTAGGATGCATAAATAGAATCCTTTCAATATAAATATACAAATAACAATGACTTTTCGTTTCCAGAAAAGGTTTGCAAAAAGGAAATCTCTTTTATAGCTAATAACTACCCACATAAAACGTAAGAATCATTCGGGAAAGAGGCAGACAGCGAGGAGATGCTGACAACCAAAGGAACAACAATGTGAAAAGCAAAAGCAATCCAATCCATATTAGCATCCACTCACCGCTTTTAAGGTTAGTTCTTTTTCTGTATCTTTATAAGTGTAACCAATATTTCTACTCTTCAGTCATTGAAGGTGTCACTCTTCATGTTTCAAACCGTAGTAGAATAAATCATATCCATTGTTGGATATAAGTGCCAACTACCATGAAAAAGGGTTCCGAGTTTCAATTGGTATTTTTTCTACATTTCTAATCCAACAGAAACTCCTAGAATGAGGTTCACCCAAAGGCAAAATATATGCCTCGCATAACAAACAATTTCGATAAATGATCAAAAAGACACACACCATTTATTGCTTGCGTGGAATACTGGGGTTTGAGTTCCCATCCCCATCGGACTTTCCATGTGTCTATGATGCACACTTCATTCCTTTTCTCAGGCCATAAAGGACTTCACTGATCCCCTAGAGAGGAACTCCTCCCGATTCCTCCCCTCTTTTATGTGCTGTTTACCAAGGCTAAGGAATGATCATGATGATGTGAATTCTCCTCATTTGCCATCACGGTCTACCCAGGTGGGCTTCCCAGGAGCGTCGAGAACCCCACGAGGGCGTCCGTTCCCTCGTACTGGCCACTGTTCTCGCTGGACCTCCCCCCTTCCCCTGCTCCTCAAACCCAAAATGCGGTAGCGGGGGCAAATGATAGGTTGCGTACTTCAGGTTTCGATTCGGCGTGTGCGCCCCTCTGCTGGAGGAATGGCTCCGCAAAGGGCTGAGGCCCCGACCTCCACTGGAGGCATAACTCCCACCTTCACTGTTGGTTGATGCGCAGGAGTGGGTGGTGGGAAGTTCGCTCGAGGAGAAGTCCTCGCGGGGGTGGCCGCTGACGGAGCGTCGGGGGATCTTCACAAGCGACCCCACCTGGCTGTTTGGATCGCTCCGGTGCGAACTAAACCGGCGTCGGTGGTGGGAAAGAGGCGTGTGGGAGTTGGAGGGGCTGCCCTCGTGGTACGGACGGATCGTGGCGGGTACACAGGTCAGACATCGCACGACGCGCCTGGTGTTCGTGGGAAAGAACACCGTCACTGGATCCGAATTAGGAGGCTGCAAACTGCCTCGGGAGGATTGTCTTGAATCGGGAAAAGACATCAAAAGTCGTGTTAACTACGTTTGTACTACTATTCTAAAACCTTTGAGAATTAAGGAGGGGGAGAGGGGGGGGGGGGGGGGGGGGAAGGGAAGTAATTGAAAGAATTTCCAAAGGGAAGAATAGATACTATTCCATTTCAAAAAGAGACAAGAAACCTAAAGTGATTTTAGTTAATAGGTAGAATAGCGCCTTACCTAATAGTAGAAGATAAAATTCAGATTAGTTATGCATCTTCTGTATTTAGAATTCAGCGTGCACGCAGTGAGCCTAAACAATGCAGAAAATTTATAAAGAAAAATTTCGTGAAGACGATAAATAAAAGTGTAAAACGACATCATAATCACTCCAAAAAAAGAATATTAACATCACTCAATTATAGAAATCTGATAAAATACGATCAATAGTGAATAAAATAAACACATAATTTCAAGTTCTATACATTTTTACGAAAACTGAAACACAAAACTATCTAGCAATGCCACCTCTCGTTGGCCATGATACTCCAATCCATCGGGAAAGTCGGGTGTGTAGTATTTCAGCGTAGGAAACGAATTCACCTCCATTCGCTTTGCCAACTCTGGGTACTTTTTTGCGTCTACACGGGCTGCAGTAAAGATTTCACGGAGCTTCTTTTTGGATTGGCTAATAGAGAAGATATCCCACGTTTCGCTCACGTGCTTGCATGGTCGTGCCCACGGAGTACAAAACAGCACAAATGTATACCGATTAGCTTCCGGGTTGACATATTCATCAAAGTTTTCAGGTGTGAGTTCGACAACACGCGTCATATGTGAGGCGGGCGGGGGCGCGGCCGCGGTGGTGCCCAAATGAGACACCACAAATGGCAGGAGTATAATAAGGAATAAAAACTTCATGGTCGCACCAATACGCACCGATTATTGTTATTGTTACTTTATTTCTCTCTAGCTCTTTGTATGCTTTTTCCTCAGAGATAGATGACATGACGTGGACAAAGAGATGTAATGCTTATATAGGTGAATTTATCTGATACACGTTCAAATATAACTCTCCTTGATTCTTCCACACACACACACATACACACACACACAGATTAATCCTTTGTTATTACCTCCATTTCATTCATGTTCGTTCATTTGTTGTATATTCAAAGAAATGCATTGAATTAGTTTCACTCAGCTTTTATATAATGATCATCTACGAACTAAACATGAAGAATGATGTCAGTATTATTACAAATGATGTTTATTTAAACGGCAGATCACTGTAAATGAATTTACAATACCTCACAGTTCATCTAAACTGCTTAAGTCAGCCAAACTCTAATGAAGTTCAAAATAATCATTCCGGAGGTTAAATAAAATGTTAGTTTCACGTGCATATATATATATATATATATACGCACCAAGTGTCAAAGATCATAACACAAGTGGTGTACACCTTCTTAATTCTTCTCCGAGAGCCATCGATAGTAGTCATTGATGATATAATATTTATTATTAATGGAGCGAATCACAAATCTCTGATAAAACTCACGCCGATGTTCCCTGTCATAGGTCACTATACCATGAACTATCATGATGAAAGAATCCGCCTTCTCGTTCCCTGGCAATGGCTGGGCGTCAACGGTATCTATCTGATGTGTTGTCTTAGGGAGTTGGTTGATGTACTGCTGCACATAATTGTGGTCTGCTAAGAGGTGTCCATTCCACTCGCACAGATTTGGAACGTTCGGGGCGTAGAGATTGACGATGTTATGGCGTTGTTCAGGGTCATCAAGGTACTGATAGTAACGTCGACGAAATTCCAAGGCTTTCTTGGCAACCTCACTAAAGTTTTCCTGCTCCATTTTTTTCTCTGTTTATAAATACGTCTGAAAGGGGAAGAAAAGGAGTCGCTTTACGAAATGAACTTTAATTACTTACTTGAGTGACGAAAAAGACCTTTTAAGACGTTAAGAAATAGAAAATGGGAACATATCGTTACTATTTTATCTTTTTTCATCAAATTGTTTCCGCGTCAGAGTAAGCAATCTGCAAGTGAAATCGAATTATGTAACACTCCATTGCATTAATCTTTGATAAAGTCTCTAAAGCATTCGAATTTATCGATTTATATCAACGTCTTACTCTCACTTTTGTGTACGCAATTTACCTCTCCTCTCCCCCCTCCCTCCTTTCTTCAGAACTGGGAAATGCAAACAACAATCGTAAGAAAGATTCATCACTGTTCGCATGCTACTAACTGTCATGCATTCCTAACTCTCCATTAAGCAGCATCTCACAGATTTCCAAGGCACCTCGCTGAGAAAACCATTCGTGCACATGTCGCAATTGATGTCTTTCACAGAGCACCTCAGACAACTGACGCGAGCAGGTTTGGATGGAACTCGAACAGTAAGAGATGCCGTGTGGATCAGAAAACTTACCGGAAAGGAATATGTCAATCGAGCGCGCAGCTGAGGCGTGGATGCAGAGCAGTTCTGGTAGGGAGACCCCAACAGACTCATTCCTTCCCTCGTTCTTTGCTGAGAAGTGCCGCTGTAGCACCTCCTCGAGCATCCCTAAGTAGCCTCTCACCTGGAGCTCCCGAATTCCCTCCTGCAAAAACCGCCCCACCACATCCGTTGCCGTCGTCGTTATCGCGTCGGTGTGCGGCAGCAGGGCTGCAGAGGCGAGCAGCGCTTCGCATCCGGCCGTCAGCCGGGTAAGGAGCTGCCAAGGCTCGAAGAGCGGCGACGTGTGTTGGAGCTGCTGCAGCAACTCCAACGTTTCCATCCACTGCCCCGTACAGCGCAGCGTGGTGGCTTGTCGAACGCGGATGCTCTCAGCGAGATGGGTGAAGCCGACGGCCTCCGCCGCCGCCAACAGCTTTGCCGAGCGCTGTAGAATCCCGCTGAAGTCAAACCGCTGCTGGAGGCTCATCAGCTGCAGGAGTTGCGAGACGAGGGTGCCGTAGACGAAGCTGCAGCTCGCGCTGATGACGTCCAGGACCTCGGCCATGTCATCAATCGCGTTGGCGTACCCGGCATAGAGTGCCAACTCCCCCCGTTTGTGTTGAATCTCCGCGAGGAGGAGGAGGAGGTCTGGGGGCCAAAAAAACCGCCCGGCGGACTCCCCTCCCGCGCACTTCTGGAGGTACCCCGCGAGGAGTTTTTCGTAGCTCAGGTTGAGCGTCGTGCCTTGTTCGCCCGCGCGGAGGCCGACCTCGCGGGCCATGCGACCCCGTTCGTTCGGATTCGGCGCCCCGGCAAGGGCGTAAAGGGAGTGGGCGGTCGACTCCAGGAGGTCGTACGCGGCGGCGACAAAGCCGTTCCGCGCGAGCCAACACCCCTGCACGTAGCGAAGCGTCGGGGCGAGAAAGACGTTCGCCTCGACCCGGCGGAGGGCGTCGTCGCCGTAGTGAAGCCGGACCGCGCGTAAAAACCGTCGGGCGAGATGCAGCGGGCCGTGCTCGCGCGCCACCACCCCCCACGCGCGACCCCCTTGCAC